CTCGGCAGCCCAGAACCGTTGCGAGTGACCTTTGAGCCAGTCGTCGTGGACATACTGCATGGGAGCTGCGCACATACCGACGCGGCTACTTCCGTAAATCGAGAGGAGTACTGAATGGTCACGATGTTAACTTGTGCTGCTCTCGATCACAAGCAATCCACCGAAGGTCTCGTTCTGGTATCGGGCCTAAAGGCCAGTTCATTCAATCACAGGAGACCGGTATGTCAGCTCTGAGAGAAATGATACAATATTTACGTGCCGAGAGTCCTCACTTTGAACGCGTTGGTGGAGGGCGAAGGAAAACGCGTCGCCCTTGGTGGCACAAACATGTACAACAGACATTGGCGAGATGGCCAAGCCACGCCTCATGAGGACCATTGAAAAGAGTTTTTCATTCAACAGCAATTGTGAATGTAGGCTTCCAGCCTGGCATCATGAGTGAATTTGGGTCTAGACCATAGAGGCTGGGGCCACTAAAAGCGCGAACCGTTGGCTCGGAGTCATATATTTAGCCATCCTATGACGTTTACGCTGTGCTCTGCGCGGTCATTCAATTGCTATCCAACGTCAAGCTACCTCTCAAAAGTGTTACAGTCTGCCTACAGAGACTAGCCACTCACAATGCAACACAAACGTGCCCCCGACTCTGTAGACTACAGATTCATTAACAAACTTACATGCGAACCCAAAATCCGGCCAAAAGCCAGACGCGGATCCAATCGCATTCATTGGACGACGCTTTTCTGCCAGAGATTACCGTCATGCAATTGAATGTAAAGGTAGATTCTATCAAGTAGCACAGGATGAACCGACAACACAAAAACATCGCCATTCAGTCCAACTTCGACTCACTTTTTCTCTCCTCCGGAACAAATCCTTTGACTTCGACCTTACGACATAGTAAATATAGGAGCTGCGCTTCTATATAATGCGCCGCCTCCTCCTCGATTACATCCGTTCTTCCCTCCCCCTTTCCGTCCCTCTTCCCTTCCCTTTCTCCCTTCGTCCATACTGCCCCCCCAGTGCCCCGGTGATATACCTTGTCATACGCCCCCCATAAATAGATGGTTGTTGGTATCGAGCCCGGCGTATGGCGTCGGTGAACGCACTCCGGCGCATCCGATAATGGCGTTGCCAGAAGGAGTGTCGGGTGTCAAACCCAGGCCGCAGTTGGATTTTTGGAAGCCTGTAATCGCATTCGTCGGTATCTGTTGTTGGGATCTCGAGTAAGGCGACATCGATAGGTCGGCAAGGCGCCTGGAGAGCTGCATCTGGCACCATAACGAGAGCCAATACAACCTAGGCGTGGTTGTGCGGACTTGGGTGATCGACGTGTCAAAGTCGAAAAACAGACAGAAGGGAAGGAGAGGCAAGACGTGTGGTGTAGTGAGATCCTCGGTCATCCTATGACAAGCTCATCGGCGAGGAGTCCGCTCAGGTGGTTGGGCAATTTGGCGAGGCGGAAACGATGCTCAATTGATGAGTAGCGAGGTCGGTGGAATGGGTGTTCAGAGAAACGCCAACTCAACTGAGTAATTTGTCAGTCGGGGATTCATTAACTTCCCCTGCTAACAATGGATAAGCTGTATCGCCGATTTGAAGGTATGATTCCATAGCGGTTTCCACGAACTTGTTTAGCTAGTGCGTCTCTTCCAGAGCAAGCTCAAGTAGAGGTAAGTCACGTCCATCCATGTGTTTGGACATTCGAGAACAGGAGGAGCAGCACTAATTGGCGTTCTCACGGCGGTCGTCAGCTTATTGGAATTGGTCAAACAATGACACCTGCGCGCTTTGGGAAGGTTTCGGTCCACTCAAAATCACCGAAGAGCAGTGCCATCCGGTTCCATAATTGGAAGCCTTTGGAATATTGACTCAGAGAGAGAGAGAGAGATGGCGATGTATATAACACCCGACATATCAAACACGCACCGAATCTACCCGCGCCTCACGACGCGTAGGTCGATGCTGATATTCCTAGTGGCCGCCGAAAAAGCCGAGCGACGCTAGATATCAAAAAAATCGCCAAAATCCGTGGGATCACTCAGATTACCCTTGCCGATCTCACGAAGCTGCTCCGGAGAGACTCGAACTCTCAGCCTCCTGATGACAATTCCGCTTTCGGGCTCGACCGAAGCCGAGTTAACAGTCAGACGCGCTAACCAATTGCGCCACAGAGCAGGGATGCAAGGCACCGGCCCAAAAAGGATATTATCTCTATGGATATTTAGATGGGCTCAGGGTCCCTCCCTTAAACCAGGGTCTGGTCATTATGAGCCTGCATGCGCCCAAGTGAAAGGGGGTATCACGGACATCAGAGGCTTGGGAATGACCATCTGCTCAAAGTAAGCGACGAATAGAATATAGCTTACATTACCCACTACAAATAATGGGTACACCGAGTTTCTATCCTATTTGGGGCTGCAAACCAAGGTAGGGCCGTTTTTGGATTGCAGTCAACCTGCATTTGGGACCTTGATTCCTGATGGACATACGCTAGCGCAAAACGGCGACCACTATAGTAGTCACATAATTCAGACGGTCGCAAGGATGATTTCTAGCAAGGCCCGCAGTCTAGGGGACAACCCAAAGTTTGTAGAAACGCAAGACGTGATCTTCGTTCAGTTGATATATGATGTAAAGGTGACACGCGACCAGTCAGTATGGCGAGCTTCTGCCCAATACCCAGGTTAGCCGTCCCCCTAGCTTCTCATGAGAGAATCTTGTTGAACTGCTCGACATTCTCCTTGACAAACTCTTCCCAGGTGCGGGGCTTCCTAGCCAATCCTTTCTGACTGGGACCAATATCCTTCTTGCCATAGTCTATTGAGGCGATGCATTTAGCTCCGCTCAACGACGCAAGGTCTACGAAGCTCATACTCACAGCCAAACTCGCTGATACAATCATACATGTCCATCATCATCACTACAATGTGATCTGGGACACCGGTCGCAACCATTGCTTTTAACTGTTGCTCCTTTGAAACCTGAACGTACTTGACGGTTTTACCCGTGACTGAATGAAAAGAGAAGGGAGTGTCGTAATCCACTCGCCTCGTTTGGAAAGCGTCTTTCAGGAAGCGTCCACTCACATTTGCTCAGTGTACTGACGATTTCAGCGCGGGAGAGAATGTCTGCACACGTCAGGATCTCGGTTTCCCCTCCAGGCCACTCCTCAATCGCCTTCCTGACCCAAAGTCCATAATCCCCGTTAGCGTCGAACAAGTGTCCGACAGAATCAGGGGAGCTGATTCCGAACATAACGAACGTTCCGTCCGGTTGCTTTCTGGGTGCGCCATAGCCTAATCCGAGGGTCAGCAAATCATGCATTCATCCAAAGCCTGAGAATCACCTAAGAAGTTTTGGTAGTAGCCTGCTGGTTCGACGTTGACGAACGGGATCCCTATATCCTTACAGTATTGCGTGACCTCCGCTTTGCTGCATGTACCAAATTCCTCTACGATGAGAAGGATCCGAAAAAAGGAGAGCATACTAACTTACGCATCGAAATGAGCCGCGTGAGTATATTTACCGCCAGAAATCTCGGTGTAGTTCTCCAGTCCGGACCAGATGAAGAGCCTGACATTGGCTGCTTTAGCTGCGTCCGCAAACATCTTGCCCTCTTCCAATTCCTACAACCGGTTCAACATCCAGCGCGATGAGCCAGGGAGACGTCACTTGAAAGCCAGCTGTACATACCCGTTCCTTACTGGTCCTCGCGGCAGGAATCGTTACTGCCTAGGTTGATGGCATCTCACAGGATCAAAATGCGGCTCAATGATGGAGAGGGGAATTCGCTCACAAACACATAAGTAGCGCCCTCAAATGCTTGATTGACTTTTACCTTGTTCTCTGGCGTGGGGTTCGGGTCGACCGTGACCATTTCGACTCCCTTCTTTGTCAACATCTGAGCCTCGGGTTTCCTTGAATCTCTTGTGAAGCCTCGCATGCGATACGGCTTGTCGGACTCCTCTAACGCCTTTTGGGAAGGTGTAGTCCGTT